TCCACTGGCGGGTCAGCAGGCCTGCCACTCCAGTCAGTTAGTCAAGTAGCCTACTGGCTGAAGACAGATTTATGTATTTGGAAGTCATTTGGTTTTTATTTTTTGTTATTTGCAATTTTTTCTTCTTTTTGCAAATTACTTTGAATAAAATGAATATATTCCAGGCAAACTTCAAGCTATACGAGTAGGCCTATGCGTTCCCCACCACTCCTGTTGCAAGAAAATGCATGATTTGCATTTTAATGCATAATAATAAAATACGTAATTTTGTTATTGTGAATGTGTTCTTTTGAATCTATTTTTAATATGATATAGGTTAAGGATGTTTTATTAAGTAGTCTAATGGACCTTTTTCACACGACTGTGATAAGCGTTTAACTGTCATCAGCATCGTAAATCCTCGAAAGTTTTTCATATTTGCATTACATTCTTTTCCTGTACATTTATAACACTTTCCTTTGTATTATATCACCTTTGCATCAAAAAAAACGAAACAAAAAACAGTTAACGCTAATGCGAGGGTGTTTCTAATGGATGGCAAATTTGACATCGTTCTCTCTTCTGACTGCCGTTAGCAGTCTTTCTAATTTTTTTCCTTTTATTGAAAGTCATGAAAACACGATCGTGGACTTTTTCTTTTGCCATTTTAAGCAAATGGGAAAGCAAAAATATATTTGTGGTACTCTCCCATTCACTGCTCTTCAAGTTAACCCATAGAAGACCAACTGTGACGACTTCCGCTGCTGAGAAACCCGGAAATGTGAGAAAGGTCCATTGCTGTGACTGGTGGGTTATTGCCGCTTCCGTTCAGGCAGCTGCTTTTAAGCTGCAGGTTTAACGCGTTCCCTACGCAATGAAATGCATTGTTTTTTTTTTATTGTTAACGTATGTGAACATTTTAGGGAGGTTTATCACAAAAGTGTTCAAATTGCCGTGATCCCGACTGGTTGGGTATTGCCGCTGGCACACTCAATCCAGCCACAAGAGAGCTCCGAGTTTGACGCATCCCGTTGCGCTCTCGTTCCAAGGAATTCTATTATTATTATTATTTTTTAATAGTAAATCTATTCTTGTGGGTTATCACAAATAAAGTGCTCAAATGGCCGAGATCCCGGGGTTACTGCCGCTTGCAACCAATCATTTTCAGCTCCGTATTGAACGCGTTCCACATCACTCCATAAAGCCGATCACGTAAAAGAATAAAGTTCTATAAACATGTACACAAAAAATAAAAATAAATCCGGTAACACACATAAATCAATGGTTCCTGTCAGTGGACTGCCAGCCCCACCAACCACTAAACCCCTATGTTTAGAGTTTAGTCCCTCACTTTAATATACACCTTACAGCGAAAATACTAAATACACGTTTATATATGTTCTCTTGTACTCAAAGGGAAAGCGTTTTTGCAGTTATTAAATCGAATGCATCTAAAAATGGTGTAAACTTTAAGCTGAAATATTTCATTTCAAGAACTTGCCACATGCGGTTTTAAAACGTACCAAAAGGTTTCACCTTTTTTAGTGTCTCGGGCATCCTTATTTGACACTGGCCCATATGTTCACATGATGTTTGAATATGGAACATGCATACACACACCGATGTGGCGGTAATGAAAGAGTTAACCGCACCGTCACCACGTGCATGTGGCGCTGTTGAGGATATGACGCGCTCTCTCGGAGTCTGCCTCGCTTTCTATATAAAGCCAGACTCATCCCAAAAACCGAATTCAACGAGACCCTCTGAAGGACCCGAAAACTGGGACAGTAGTCTGTATTGATGAATTAACCGGTTTACGATAGCACATTCTCCTACAGAAAGCGGTAAACTGGCTTTTCCCATCTGACGCGCATCAGCTCCAGGTACACGTGCTCATCTAGGCTACAGGAAAGGTTTGAATTTATATTTACTCAAGCGTCATATTAAATGTGCTTATTTTAGTAATATGTTGTAGGAGGAGCTCTAACAAAGACAATCTTCACCAGGTGCGCGTTTGCGTTTCGATAAACTGTCTGTGGGCAGATGTCAACATCGGTGCGTTTATTTTTATATCGCGCAAGCAGATGTTAGTAGGTCACGGCGCTGAGATAGTTACATTATTGCAGCACGAGGACACGTATAGCGTGCGTTTTGGCTATCAATTGTTTACATCGTGAAACCGAAACGCCTTGTTCGCCGTTCCCAGCATTGTTGATACTCCATGCGGTTTAATACAGACTGAATCTGCTTGGCTTCCTGTTAACGCCAGCCTTTTGAATCGGGTTTTTTTATTACTAAAATTAAATAGTAAATACTATTTCCTCCAAAAGCACAAAAAGAGAAGTTCTAAGATTTAAAATGAAGTTGAGATTGACATTAATATGTAGAGACCGATATTTGGCCATATGAAGACAATCATGGCGCGTGGCTGATTACCATCCGCATTAAGTAGATTAAAAACAACTGCATATCGGCTGATATTCGGTCACTGAGATTTATAGACCTCAGCCAGAGTCAATAAAAAAAACAGTGGCGTTACCACTGGTACGGAGTCTATAAAAACAGTCACATTAAAATCTCAAATAGCAACCATTTTTGGCATCAGCTAAAACAATGACAACCCCATTGGGTAAAGGTCCATAAAACTGACGCATCACAATCAAACAAAACGGCCAAATATCAGCAGACATCTATTCAAATAATAATATTTTAAAATCTAATCCATAATCTATTCAAATAAGGTATTTAAGGTAAGGTAAGGTTTAAGGTAATAAAAACCGTTCCAGAAATATACCAGTAACACAGTCCAGGATTTCCAGATGTGCTTCCTGAGGGCCACCTTCCTGAAGAGTTCATCTCCAAAACATTTCTCTGGAGGTTTGTAGTAATTTCAAACATCTTGATTGATTGATTAATCAGTTCAGGTGTGCTTGTTTATGGTTGGAGCTGAAGGAAGGTGGCCCTCCAGTGGCATGATTGGACACCATTTGCCTGGTTGGAACATGCATACACACACCGATGTGGCGGTAATGAAAGAGTTAACCGCACCGTCACCACGTGCATGTGGCGCTGTTGAGGATATGACGCGCTCTCTCGGAGTCTGCCTCGCTTTCTATATAAAGCCAGACTCATCCCAAAAACCGAATTCAACGAGACCCTCTGAAGGACCCGAAAACTGGGACAGTAGTCTGTATTGATGAATTAACCGGTTTACGATAGCACATTCTCCTACAGAAAGCGGTAAACTGGCTTTTCCCATCTGACGCGCATCAGCTCCAGGTACACGTGCTCATCTAGGCTACAGGAAAGGTTTGAATTTATATTTACTCAAGCGTCATATTAAATGTGCTTATTTTAGTAATATGTTGTAGGAGGAGCTCTAACAAAGACAATCTTCACCAGGTGCGCGTTTGCGTTTCGATAAACTGTCTGTGGGCAGATGTCAACATCGGTGCGTTTATTTTTATATCGCGCAAGCAGATGTTAGTAGGTCACGGCGCTGAGATAGTTACATTATTGCAGCACGAGGACACGTATAGCGTGCGTTTTGGCTATCAATTGTTTACATCGTGAAACCGAAACGCCTTGTTCGCCGTTCCCAGCATTGTTGATACTCCATGCGGTTTAATACAGACTGAATCTGCTTGGCTTCCTGTTAACGCCAGCCTTTTGAATCGGGTTTTTTTATTACTAAAATTTAAATAGTAAATACTATTTCCTCCAAAAGCACAAAAAGAGAAGTTCTAAGATTTAAAATGAAGTTGAGATTGACATTAATATGTAGAGACCGATATTTGGCCATATGAAGACAATCATGGCGCGTGGCTGATTACCATCCGCATTAAGTAGATTAAAAACAACTGCATATCGGCTGATATTCGGTCACTGAGATTTATAGACCTCAGCCAGAGTCAATAAAAAAAACAGTGGCGTTACCACTGGTACGGAGTCTATAAAAACAGTCACATTAAAATCTCAAATAGCAACCATTTTTGGCATCAGCTAAAACAATGACAAGCCCATTGGGTAAAGGTCCATAAAACTGACGCATCACAATCAAACAAAACGGCCAAATATCAGCAGACATCTATTCAAATAATAATATTTTAAAATCTAATCCATAATCTATTCAAATAGTTTAAGGTAATAAAAACCGTTCCAGAAATATACCAGTAACACAGTCCAGGATTTCCAGATGTGCTTCCTGAGGGCCACCTTCCTGAAGAGTTAATCTCCAAAACATTTCTCTGGAGGTTTGTAGTCATTTCAAACATCTTGATTGATTGATTAATCAGTTCAGGTGTGCTTGTTTATGGTTGGAGCTGAAGGAAGGTGGCCCTCCAGTGGCATGATTGGACACCATTTGCCTGATCAATGGATACCTTTTTATTTTTACAGAGTGAATACTGCGTAAAAGACGTTTCATTTGCTGTTGCCCTCCCTGCTCTCAGGTTCTTATTTATATTGGTTGACAACTACTATTATTGCTTGCATTGATTATCTGATTGGTGGAGCTTTCTTTGTAGAATCATGGGTAATGTAGTTTTTCACCAGGAAAAACTACAACTCCACAGCTAAAAACATCGCTGTTAAACACGATAATAATAGTAATAATAAAATGTTGAAATAATGCAAACTGGTGGCTACAACAAAAGCATATACCATTGTTTAATAACTTTGCAGCTCACAGTAGGTCTGTCTTTTAGTGATCGTTAAAAATGAGTTCCCCTATGGAGAAAATTAATGGGATTTTTACTTTTAGTGGAAGTTCAGAAAAGATGAGAAATTTAAATGACCGTGTAAATTCTATTTATTCTATAAACAGAATTCCAATATAAATACAGACATGGTTGGACTATGACGAGAACTGTGCTATTTACAGGTTGTGTTTGTGTATTTCTCTTTCCAGTATGGCAGACTATCTGATAAGTGGAGGAACGGGCTATATCCCGGAGGACGGACTGTCTGCCCAGCAGCTTTTTTCAGTTGGAGATGGTCTCACCTACAAGTAAGTACTTTTCATTGGGTTCCTCTCCCTGCAGTGATACTCTGTGTGTATGTAATGGGCATCCACATTACAGATCAGAACAGCAGTCAGTCCGAGATGGACTCACGGCGGAAGAGCTTTGCTCTATGGGGGACGGTATGACTTACAAGTGAGTAATAAGGCCCTTTATTTAAGACATCGTCTTCTAGTGAGCTCAATAAGGGACACAAACGTTCCAGCTGTATACACTCTGGATGGACTATTTAGGGTCCTTGCTGTTGGGAGACAATCAAAAGATTCTGCTTTCAATTGCTGGTGGGGAGAGCAGGATTTTAACTGTAATCTATGCCATATGCTATTATATTAGCTTGGTTAAGCCAGGATATATTTACGTATATGTAATTTGCATGATGGATTTATACAAGCTCAAATCAGAGGGGTTTCTTAAAGGGATAGTTGAGTAAAAAATTTAAATTGTCGTCATTTACTCTCCCTCACGTCGTTCTAAACCTGTATGGCTTACTTTCTTCTTTGGAACACAACAGAAGATATTGTGAAGAACATTGGGAGTTGGAACAACATTGATTAGACCACATTGACTTTCACTTAACGGCCAAAAAAAATAAAAAATCTAAATATCTTATATATATTTACTTAAGAAAAAACGTCATCCAGGTTTGGAATGACGTGAGGGAGAGTAAATGTTGACAGTTAATTGTGTGAAAACAAGTGTTTCATGCATATATACATGTCTTCATTCTTTGTACACATAATGCATTGTAATAATAGAGACTCTAAGGAGCCAAACTTGTGTTCTGACTGAGGGGTGACATTAGGACAGACATGGTGAGTTCACGAACAGTCTCGCCTTTTAAGATAGAGATTACAAGGTGAAAGGTCCAGCTGTATAACGGTCTTATCTGTAATGAAAAGCGTGTAGGGATGCATTGTGGGCCGCATGACTATCCTCACGCTGGCATCATGTGAGGTGGGAGCACTTCTACACATGCTCATACTCACAGACAGGGATAGAGAAAACAGTTATGTCTGAAATCCCCCATAAATCTGACACGGTGCGTATGTGTTCAATTGATTTGTGTAACACACGCATGAGTGAGTTTGAACAGTTTTTTTTCTTTGTATGGCATGTGACGCATAAGGCTCAGACCTCTGTTGTACTGATGTGAGATGTCTCGTCCCTGTGTTACTTTGCAGGCTTGTATGTTTTTTGAAAGATTATTTTATCAGAGAGATAAAAGAGATTCTATGTCTCCAGAAATATTAGAGGAAATTCCTCCATTTATAACATTAGCTGACTCCGAGGCTTTGTCAGTGTTTTTTTTTCTTCTTTTTTTGCTGCTTTAAAATTCACATGATCTGCAATTTATTTGTTCAAAGAGTTATTTATTCAAACTACGTTAAAATGTCGCAAAAGGCACCATTTAGATGTATATCAAATGTAATTTAAAAACCTATTTCACACTTTTATTAGGGACTTTGGGCTTTTGTTACAGGGAAATTTAAGAATTCTGTGATCATTTTCTCACCCTAATGTCATTCAAAACCTTTTTTTCTGTTGTTTCTGTCTTAAGTAGAAGACAAAAGATGATATTTTGAAGAATGTTGATAAGAAAACAGTTTTGGTTACTACTGACATGCATTGTATGGGACAAAGAACACTTGAGACATTTCTCTAAATATATTCTTATGTATTGAAGAAGAAAGTCAGTCATACAGGTTTGGAACGACATAAGGAAAAGTAAATGATAACAGACTTTATTTTTCATTTCAATAAAATCTAAATAATTCTCATGTTGTTCTTAGTATTCGATCTCAATTTGTCTAAATAAATTAAAAATAAAACTAAAAACGTTTTTATATTTAAAATTTCATTTGCTTAATTTGTTGAATCCATCTCCTGAATTGGATTAACTGAAAAGCAGCTGATCCCAATGTTGCATTTTAAGTTGACAAGGCTAGAGCTATTATTTCCTATTGGTGTGTTTTGATGTTAAAAATTTTCTTTATGAATCAACCCCTCTTGCAGGGCAAAAACCTCACATTTCCACCCACATGTCTGCCTCCAATTGTTCATAAAATCTTGCTCAACTGAAATGAAATTGCAGAACTTAAACTATTGCCGGCTTTTTTTAGTCCGTGAAAGGAAATGTTTGTATGTTGAGTGTTACCCTGTAGCATGGTTCTTTTCAAAGTAATGAATTAATCTAAGTATAGTGAGGCAGAATGGCTTCACTAACGTTATTGAATTAAAAGAAACATGAGTTATGCAGTGGATTAGTCAGATAATGGATAATGTCATTTCTCTACAAAGTATGGATAAGGAGATCCTCACATTGAAAAAACAACTGGATAATGGAACCGCTTTAGTCAGAGCGACATTGCAACCACGTAGCTGAACAAATTAGGAGACAGAATAAAATTAAATAAAAAAATGCCGTTTGTAAATGCACAGGGGATCACCATGTTAGCTGGATTTGTTCAGAGCAGGTTGGTATAAAGCTGTAGTCTGCGTGTCTGTGGTGATATTTGGCACCGTGTTCTTCTGCATATTTGGAGGAAGTCTGGCTTTCAGTCTGTACGTTCTTTGAGTCTAGTGAAATTTACAGTCTGAGTCATCTAAAACTGACACTTGTTGCTCCACCAGAGAGACTGTAGAGCTGAAAGTCAGCAAAGGCTGCTGTGAGTTTACTGACTGATTATCGTAGATGCTAAAATGAACATTTAAGACATTTAGGTCTGTAAACACAAAGTAGCAATGCAACAAGACTTCATCACAACCATTCAGAACACATCTGATGGTTAATATTAAGTTATGCAGCACAGGATTCGGAACCAATCCAATTTCATTGTGGGCGGGGCCATTGCATTCACTGGGCGGGGCTACCCAGCACTATACATCAAATAAAAACCAAATGACTGGAAAAAATGTCTATTCATTGTGGCCTGTTGGGACAAATAATCAGATTAACGTGGATAAGAGCATTTATCTCTTGATGCTACTTCACTTCTAGGACATGGTGTAACAAATATTGTTTCCCTGCAATATTCCTGGGCAGTCTAAATTCTTGGATTAGTCCAACTAAAGATCCAGACTCTAGCACATTTTGCCCTCATGGCCTCATTTATTTAGGCATTTCCTGAGGTTGACACCCAGTGTTGTTGATGTTTAGGGGTGTGTGGTCAGCTCATGTGGGCGCAGAGGAACCCCGCCCTGTTCCAGCTGACACAGACTCCTTTTTTTTTTTTTAGCCCACCACAAGAGGAGAAAATATGTTTACGTCCTTTAAGTTGCCTCTGTCTCTCCCCTTATTTTTACGTATGCATGAACTATTCAAAAGCCATCAAATTTTCTCTCTCGCCACTGGGTTTTGGCACTCACCTGCCAAGCAGTTACCTTTCATCTGTATAAGGAGATTTTTTTTCTCTCGTTCTTGCTAGTATTTATGTCAACTGAAGTCAGCAGGATTTATATAGCATAAATCGGTGGATTTCAGTAGGCCGGTGAAGGTTTGTTTCATGTAAATGAGGACATGTCAGAATGTGCCTGGTCCTCAGACATTCCTCAAGCTCACCTCAAAAATCACACTTAATTTAGAGCTCCTGATGATTTAAGGTGTCATAAATCCAGCAGTCAGCATCAGGTTTTCATTACGCTTGAATGTTTATCTAAAGCATAACTACCACAGGAGCTTCCTCCTCTCCCTATAAAATAAAATGGAAGTTTTGCAACTGTTTGCTCATGTCTGTGAGCTTTGTGGCTATTTAAATGCAAAAAAATTTACAAAATGAACCTTTAGGAGGTATGCAGAACCGTTCAAATGTTTGGGGTCAGTATGATGGATTTTTTTTTTTGGAAACAAAAAAGTACTTTATGTAAGGACGCATTAAATTGATGTGATGGTAAAGACTTCTAATGTTACAAAAGATTTTTATTTTAAATTAATGTTGTTTTGCTTTTGAATGCTTGTGAACTATTTATAAAATTACTGTTTAAAGTAATAAGAAATGTTTCTTGAGCACCAATTTCTGAAGGATCATGTGATACTGAAGACTGGAATAATGGCTGCTGAACATTCAGCTTTTCCTTCACAGGAATAAATTACATTTTAAAATGGGAACATAAAAAAAAAAATTACAGACACCAAACTTTTGAACAGAAGTATATGTTTAAAATTGACTGTGCTTCTCTTAAAGGAGAATGTAAATGATTTGATTCTTGGTGACTAATTGTTTTCTCTCTCTCTGTGTCATATTTGCAGTGACTTTCTGATCTTGCCTGGCTTCATCGACTTCACCTCAGATGAAGTGGTGAGTCGTCTGGCCTGAGTCCTCCACACTTTCATGCACTCATTCAGTTTGTTTTTATAATGACGTGTTCGTTTAAACAACCCGTCTGTGTTTTCTCTGCACTCACTATTTTTAGCTAAATGGCTGTCTCATTTGTTTCATTGCTCACTGGCTTTATTGCTCTTTCCTTTTCTTCATCATCACAACACATCTTCTCTAGATTTTGTTTAGCAATTAGAGGCAATAATTTTTTCTTGAGAATATTGTTTTACTATTTTATTTGTTTCAACATAAAACAATGTCATAATTGTGACGGTCTGTTAAATTATGTATTTAAATCATTGTGGTAAACATGTTTTAAATAGGTTTTTTTATTACAAAAAAAACCTAATGTTCAGTGTCACACATTTTGCATGTGACCGCAAGGATTTTCCCTAATTGTGAAAGTAGAACTTCACTTATTTGATTTCTGTAATACTTGATTTAGCAGTTTTAAATTTGCATCAAATTACTCATGAACCAGCTGCTTTTTCACCCTTAATTTGAATTGTGTTCTATTTTGCAAACAGTGCAATAATCCACTTGCACACATTAACAGTTAATGAACTTTGAGCATTCTGCTCTTATCTTTTGTTTTCTTTTTTTCTTTTTATTGCCTTTGGCGGACAGTAGGGTTTTAAAGATCCCTGTCTTGAGTATAATAATGAATTAAATGAGGTCGAAGCTCAGAACACAAAACAATTGCGAGTGTGACTGATATTGAAACTGAAACTCCTGTTTGGGTTTGTGTAGGCAGGTTTAATAACTGCTTTAATGTCTGTGTCTGACTTCACAATCTGGCCTTCACTGAACCATAGATTTGGGAAATTTCCCACTGTGGTGTCTGTTTTCCCATGAGGCCGCTCTTCCCCACCGCTGTGAATGCAGAAACGTATTTTGGGAACTTAGGCTGTTGGTATTGACAAGGTGAAGGCTGTGAAGGGAATGTTTCCGAACTTATCCGTGTTAGAGGAACACTTCTCAGCGCTGGTGTACAAATGAAGGACACGGCCTTCACTGCCACCCCATCTTAACCACTTCCACCCACCCATTTTTATTTACATGCACTTTTACACCCGTTTAGGCGTATATGTGGTATTCTTTGAATTATTTCTTTAAGTTCTTTGATCTTTTAGTGTATATCTTTTAAAAGTTTGGGGTCGGTAAGATTTATTTCAGTGTATCTGAATGAAGTCTCTTATGATTACCAAGGCTGCATGTTTTTTATCAAAAATAAAGTAAACCGTTTTTTAAAATGTATAATAATATTTTACAATATTACAGTTTTCTATTTTAATAAATTTTAAATTGTAATTTATTCCTGATGCAATGCTGAATTTTCAGCATCATTACTCCGGTCTTCAGTGTCGCACGATCCTTCAGAAATCATTCTAATATGCTGATGTGCTGCTCAAGAAACTTTTCATGAATGTTGTAAACCGTGCTGCTTAATATTTTTGTGGAATCTGTGATGCATTATTTTCAGGATTCTTTAATGAATTTAAAGTTCAAAAGAACCCCATTTATTTAAAATGCAGGGGAAAAAAAAAAATTATATATATATATTTTGTAACATTAGAAGTGTTTTTGAAAACTCTCACTTTTGATCAATTTAATGTGTCCTTGCAGAATAAAGGTATTAACTTCTTTAAAAAAATAAATAAAATAAATTTTGGGTGTAGAAAATCACACAAAAATGTAGTTATCACCAGGCGTTTTTCCCCCACTGTTGATATGATGGGTACAGCAGTTATTGATGCTCTTCTGTCTCTATTGGCCAGACATGGAACTACATAGTCAAATTACAGTCACATTTGTCTTTAATTTAAGAGCTCATAATTGTTTTACTCGCAGAACTAATGTTTTGCATATCTGTGATTTTATTTTATGTAGGACCTGACCTCAGCATTGACCAAGAAGATCACACTGAAGACCCCACTCATCTCCTCTCCTATGGATACTGTTACCGAATCCTCAATGGCCATTGCCATGGCAGTGAGTACCTCTTAAATCCTTTTTCAGATTAGACTGAACATCTGTCAGTCATTAATTTGAATGTTTCTGACTTGTTGCTCAGCTGATGGGAGGAATTGGCATCATTCATCATAATTGCACACCAGAGTTTCAGGCCAACGAGGTGCGCAAAGTAAAGGTAAGACCGCGTCACCCTTCATAAATGTTTAATGTAAGGTCAGTGTCTTCTGTGTGTGTGTGTGTGCTTGTACCTGTTAATATTTGATGTCAAGGTCTCTGTGTATGTGCCTGCAGAGGTTTGAACAGGGTTTCATCACTGATCCAGTGGTCCTGAGTCCTCGTCACACTGTAGGTGATGTACTTGAAGCAAAAGTTCGACACGGATTCTCTGGAATCCCCATAACTGAGACGGGCAAGATGGGCAGCAAACTAGTCGGCATCGTCACATCACGGGACATCGATTTCCTGTCTGAGAAAGATCATAACAAACCCCTAGAGGAGGTAAGGCTGCCTGTGTGATCATGTGTGCATCTACACTGCCCTTCAAAAGTAAAAAAAAACCAACCTAATAAAAATTTTTCTTTTTTTTTTAAATGTAATTTATTCCTGTGATATGCTGATTTGGTGCTCAAGAAACATTTACTATTATTAATGTTGAAAACAGTTGTGTTGCTTGATATTTTCGTGGAAACTGATATTAATATTTTTATAACCGATATTAATATTTTAATTTATATATATTCAGGATTCTTTGAATATTAAGGGGAAAAAAAACAGCATTTATTTGAAATGCTCTGTCTTTACTGTCACTTATGATCAATGTAATAAATCCTTGCTGAATAAAAGTTTATTTATTTTTTTTTTTTTTTTTCCTCCAAACTTACTGACCCCAAATAAGTTTGAATGCGTGTATATATGCATATACAGTATTATGTATATAGTAGCACACAATAATATCACATCATATCTCTATCCATCCCTCATGGCTGTGTATCTGTAATTGTTTTCCAGGCCATGACTAAAAGAGATGATCTTGTAGTCGCTCCTGCTGGTGTCACACTAAAAGAGGCCAATGACATCCTGCAACGCAGCAAAAAAGGTGAGAACACCAAAACATAGAATACAGTGCAATCTTACCATCACAGCCACAGCCCGAATATCAAATTAATTTAATTAGTACTTTTAGCTCTACATCCCCTTCCACCCGCAGGAAACACTATAAAATACAGTGTTTAACAATTTTAAAAGGTCTCAATAAGTTATATTCATTTACTTGAACAGGTAAACTGCCCATTGTAAATGACAAGGATGAATTGGTGGCTATAATAGCCCGCACAGACCTGAAGAAGAATAGGGACTATCCTCTGGCCTCCAAAGACTCCCGCAAACAGCTGCTGTGTGGCGCTGCCATCGGTACCCGTGAAGACGACAAATACCGTCTGGACTTGCTCATGCAGTCTGGGGTGGATGTAGTGGTTCTGGTAGGTCAAAGCCACTGCAGTTTTTCTGAAGGAAACATCAATCTTTCGGTCACTAGTTTTGAAAACTGAAATGAAAGCAGGTGCTGCCTGTTGGTTTATTTAATGCTTGAGGGAGCATATCTCTAAGATCAGTTTCATGTATAGCCAAAATTGTCAAGTGTGAAGTCCCACTAGAGTCACCAATATTGAGATGTTAATTTGTTTTTCAGGATTCGTCACAAGGCAATTCCGTATACCAGATAAATATGATCCATTACATTAAGCAGAAGTACCCAGATCTGCAGGTTGTGGGAGGAAATGGTAAATATCGGACTAAAATACTGTCATGACCACATACTTCACAGTTGCCCTCTCTTGTTTTCTCTAACCTCAGTCTCTGTCTCTCTGTAGTGGTTACAGCTGCTCAGACGAAGAACCTGATAGACGCAGGGGTGGATGCTTTGAGAGTGGGAATGGGCTGTGGTTCTATCTGCATCACACAGGAAGGTTAGAACTCAATCACACACATGCATTCAACAAATTACCTACATATCACAAGGGATGCAAACTGGCAAACCCTCAGGGTGGTCCGAGAGCATAATTTTTAAAATATCAGCTTTAAAATGTGGATTTGCAGTCAAAATTAAAGGATATAAAAGAACTTGTGTGTAAATGAACACAGTGTCACACTTCAAGCACTCATTGTATCTACACAAATGAACTAATTTGGATTCAAAATGGTGATTTTCGCCAAAAGGTGGCAAATTTGCATACCCGTATTTCACAACACAATATACAGTTATATACGCACGGTTATATGTTGCACTATTTCTTTCACGTTAGCTAATCATAAAGCCTGACGTGTGTCCATTTCTGATTCCTGTAGTCATGGCATGTGGGCGGCCTCAGGGCACCTCCGTGTATAAGGTGGCAGAGTACGCTCGGAGGTTTGGGGTGCCGGTCATCGCAGATGGAGGCATCCAGACGGTCGGCCATGTGGTGAAGGCACTGTCTCTGGGGGCATCGACAGGTAAGTGTTGTTATAATTCACTTAAATGTAAGAAATGTTGATGATAACATTGTGTCTGTTTACATGAAACAAGTGCATTCTGTCTGCAGTGATGATGGGATCTCTGCTGGCCGCCACCACAGAAGCTCCAGGCGAGTATTTCTTTTCTGACGGGGTGCGACTGAAGAAGTACAGAGGCATGGGCTCACTAGATGCCATGGAGAAAAACACCAGCAGCCAGAAACGATACTTCAGGTATGTTGTAGTGTGTTTGTGTACTACACTATTGGCTGGCGATAAATTATTCAGCAATAGGAAGCCCATTGCTATGTTCAATATGAAAGTCTATGTTACAGAATAATGTGCTGCATACTTTATTCTGCCTACTGTTCTTAAAAAATAGTATGTGACTCAGTATGAAGTATATAATAATATATTATCATCACATGACCTTGTTTTCTGTGCTTATTGGCTTTCTTGGCAGTGAGGGCGATATGGTGAAGGTGGCTCAGGGAGTGTCGGGCTCAGTCCAGGACAAAGGCTCCATCCATAAATTTGTCCCATACCTCATTGCTGGAATCCAACATGGCTGCCAAGACATTGGTGCAAAAAGCCTCTCTGTGCTTCGGTAAGTATGTGTCGGTGTTATATTACGCATTCGGTTTGTGTTTAAGCACTATGAAAATTCCTACACCGTTTTTATGTACGCATTCAGGTCCATGATGTATTCTGGAGAGCTGAAGTTCGAGAAGCGGACCATGTCTGCTCAGGTGGAGGGTGGAGTACATGGACTTCACTCGTAAGTCACTAGAGGGCACCAGTGCTCAACACTACCTTTCTATGGCAAAGCTAGGATGGCGGGCATCAGTATCTCAAACTATTGTTTCCACAGTTACGAGAAACGTCTCTACTAATGGAGTGGGCAGAACACGGATGGGAAGCAGCGACCAAACACCTCAGACAAATCCTAGAACTTACCCTACTCTGCCAGCACCCGTTCCTCCACTCTTCACCATTCCTCTGGCATGACCACCACAGTGAGAGATAGAGAAAAGTATTAAATGAGTTTGAGAACAGGACCACAAACTAATTCAGTACCCAAAAAACATGGCAGTTGCACTCAAGGGAGCATCAGGGTTACCAAAAAGCTGCTTGTTTGTGTTTTTGCATCTGTGTTTGAGCAGACTGGCAAAAACAAGGTGGCATTTGCAGTGAATATTCTCAAAAAACCTTTTTCCTCCCAAACTGATTCTGCAACCATGTTGATCTTTAAGTTTCTTTTTAGGCAGTGTCTATATCACCATATCCACTTGTAAAATGATGACTGCCTTCAAACCAAGTTCTCCAACTATACTTGAGGCAATCTTTTTTGTAGTAGATTTGTAACTACTGAAGATTATATTTTTTATTTTAGAAGGCAGAGATACATAGATAATTGATGTCAATTTTGTGATAGTTAAATGTCTATTGTATTATCGGTGGAACCGTTTTCTCTACATCAACCATCCCGCGTCCTGTAACTGGGTACGATTCATACTGAAAATAATTATACCAAAACCAATATCTGTAGATATACGTTGTTGCTCTGAGAGTCATGCTAATGTGTCCGGGCTATATTTTTGACCCAAAAGCTGGAATTTGTACTGAAGGGTTTGATTGATTATCAAAGTAAATTATGGCTGACTTTTAATGCAGCCTTTGAGGAATTTTAACAAAGGACAGTAATTATGGGATCTGTGTTAATGCAGTTGTGACTCAGTGCTGTACAGGTATGAAGAGTTTTAATTTGCATGCTGCCGTTTTCTTTTCTTTTTTTTTTTTAAGTAATGGTATCGTTTATATTATTTACATAACAAAAATGCACTTGGCAGTTAACTTTGAATATTTAATCTTCTATAAAAGCCAAATAAATGCTGTGAGTATCCTGGTCTTAGGATTTGTTTGTCCATGTCATCTAAATGTCCCCTACAGCTTTGCGTGTTGGGTGAACCTGTGACATGCCTTGAATTGTGTAATAAATGGACACGTTTGTCTTATCCCAAAACATGCCACTCATTTTCGACAGATCCTGTGGCTTCATATAACTATCACTGCCAAATGAAGCATGACAACCATGTGAATTTAAATTAGTGTTTTTGTAATACATTTTCAGTACTATTTGTTTAGCTTTTTGCTGTTTTTTTTTGGTAACAATAATGCATTCTTTATCTCAGCATTAAATATGTGGACACAATTATCCCACCTGTACAAAATCCTCAGTATAATGATGTACAAAAACATACTTTGCGTTCTTTACATCAACTGGATGTTGTTTGTATGTTGCTTTGCCCACAGTCTCTGACAACTCAAGAGTCAAGTTTGTTTACCGCAGTGTACTCAACTGAGGCTGCATATCCTGTTCAATACTGATTTAAAAAAAAGATAAATAAAAATACTTAAATCAGTTTTTTGGTTTGCCTTATGTGTGTGAAATATTTGTGCATGACACAAATGTCAGTTTTCAGTATATTTATTGGAGATCTCTAACAGCCTCTAATGACAAACAATAGATGTATCGGCAGTTTCTCACACGCTTTCAGAACATGCACGCTATAAAATGTACAAAGTAATTTTTATTATTTTTAATATGTATTGAATAACGGTGTATAGAGTTTTTGAAAACACGACATAAGACCTGGCAGATAAATAAATTATTAATTGTAGTTTCTATCAAATATACACTATGAAAAGAAAAAAATGGCAGGTTACAGTTCAGTTCGTTAAGTGCTACAGAACAACTGAACTAGCTATCAGCAGAGTGTGCTGCAAGAATACTTGCATCCTTCTCTTATCTTCTTGTCTCCCTCTCAGTTGATAAAATAGTTAGGCCCTTCAACATAATGCATTGTTGCAAAAAACAACAGGAACTTGAAGTTAACTGTGCAACTAAAGACCAGAAGAACAATGACATTTTCTAAAGGTTTGCAAAATCGGATTGGCAGGTTATACTGTATTTAATTTGAAACAATTTTCTGATTGCCAAGTATTTGTTTAACAGTATAGTTATCAGTAGTTTGCACTCTCACAGTATTAATCATAGACCAAAAAGGGATTTTGTACAAATTCATACAAACGTCAACTGTTAGCATTATAAAGAAATTTTGAAACAAATGTTTTACAATTACAAATTTATCAATCATCAAAGAACCTTTGTACAAAATCTGCCTAAGCTTCTGGCAATTGGTAGCACTTCTTAAACCTTTACAAGGATATTGACTTCAGAATCCATCTCTTTGGAGAACTTACCTGACAGAAACAAACCAACCCTTACAAAATGAAACATTTGGCACAGTTCTGGTCCATGAAACATTTACCTGTGTCTACACAGAGCAAATGTTTTGACACCAAACAGACTCACCAAATCACCTGATCTGTCCATTATCTGTTAATCATATCTCTGAAACTCTTTTGGTTTCTTCATATTACATAATTTTGATTTGTCTGAAAGTAGAGGTCTCCCCCTAGAGGTCAATAGTCTCACTGCAGATGCTCAGAGCATCGATCTGTCTGCACACACTGATAAATTCTTCTTGGACAGATTGGTCAAACTCTGACTGCTGTTCCATACTCTCCTCTGACTTTAATGTTCTGTAGGGTCTCTGTAAGCTTCCCCTTTGGTGACCAGAGCTGGCAGTGTGGCTGGAACCCCCACTGAGGGTAGAGGGTGGTGGATGGTGTCCTTCCGGACTAGAGCACAAAACCAAAGAAGAGCCACCCAGAGACTGTCTATAGAGGGAACAGGAGCTGGAGCTGCCTCTCCAGCACTCAGGAGATGAGCAGCAAGTAGAAGATGACAGTGAGGGTGATGGGGATGGAGGAAAACCTAATGACGGACCATCTGGTTGGGCTTGAGAAGCAAAGGGAACTTGGGGTAGCACTTCCACACATGAAGATGTTCGGTATAGGCCTGGTAGAGTAAGGGTGTCTCTCAGGGTTTGGGCACCACTGGAGTTGGTCTCTCTACCATTCAGCGAGTGGTCACTAGAGGTGAAGGGCCGTAAGGGGCTGAAGAGACTCATGGGAAACAGAGATTCACTAAACAGTGCTTCATCAATGCTTCGACGCAGATTTATGGGTGAAGGAGGGCGCAGGTCTGCTGTGGAGTCGCTGGTACAGGATGAACCCACAGAAGGGGCACCAGTGTTGGGCAAGTCCAGGTCAAGGTCACGATAGGCCAATGCCCGGTTGCTGTGGTATAAAAGGTCAAGGCCATTCAAGCTGCCGAGACGGTCATCCACCAATGTGTACAAGGGTAGGCACTCTGTCTCTCCATGCCCAATTGGATCACAGATGGCCAGCTTCTCCTGGTGAGACAGAGTCCACTGGTAGCTCCCAGGAATGATAGGTGACTTTGCTGCAAGGAGTTCTGTCCAGCAACTGCCTGGCTGGGGAAGGTGATCAGAGCAGTAAACTGGTTGAGCAACTACCAGAACCAGTGTGAGGCAAATCACTGCTTCACAAACTCGGCAGCTGAACTGGAATGTCCACCACGGCCAAGGCCCAAAGGACTCAGCGCTTCCAGCAATTCCGAGAGCATGCAGCATGGCATAGAGTTGCAGCCCTGCACAAGCCAGAGAAAAGACAGCACAGAGTAGCACTGCGGCTGCTGCTCGATTCCAATCTCGGCTCTCTGCAAAGGGGCAACGGTTGTAGCGTTCAGCTGGTGTTGGTGATGTGTTGTTCAGATGATAAATATGCTTGGAGTCAGCACGAACATAGCAGTAGAACACAAAATATGCAGCTGATAGGAAAGTTGCCAGAGCCACAAAGGCACCTCTAGAGATTAAGGACAGAAACAGGTAGACCTGTTGGTTAGCATGGAGTAATGCAACAGGGCCAAAGGCAGCAGCAAAGTGCAGAAGCACCAAGCAGGCCAGGAAACAAGGTCTCTGAAAGGCGGAATAGGACAGCTGCATACGAGAGCGCATTGACAAGAGCAGGAATACTAGACCAAAGGCGGCAGTCATGCAGGGAAATGGTGCCTCGTAAAGTAACAGTGAAGCCTCTGTTGATGTCATGCGGTCCTGGTATCCGTATGCATCGTATGCTAGGGCAAAGGCCCTAGTGCAGCCAGCGGCCACCAGGCAGAGACTAACCAGAGCGAAGTAGCCACAGCCTGATGGATACTGTAGGGGCAGGCACAGAAGGTTTAGGGTGGAGGCCAAAGCGACTAGACAGAACACAGTGCCCAGGCCGTAGATGTGTGCTTCCCATGCTGAACCCCATGTTGCCAGGGCATTGTTCCAATCAGAATTTAGTGCCACAAACATAGGTGGGGCTGGAAATGGGTTGGGACTTTGAGAGAGGTTGGTGGAGAGGGTGGTTGTACTGTCATTTTTGCTGCTATTGCTAAGGACAGTGGTGGTGGGCCAAGTGTCACTAGAACTGCAGATTCCAGAACGTTCCGCATTGCAGTCAGGGAGTGCAGATTCTTGGTTAAGGTCTGTCAGCCAGTCCTCAGATGTAGAGGTGGGCATTTCTAAAAGGAAAAACAAACATGTTGCGTTATTAGTACAGAAGACTTGTAAATAAGACATATGAAAAATATGCTACCGGTACTGATTCTCAGGAGATTACTCATAATTTAATGATTTAAAGGGGTCATAAGATGCTATTTCAAGTTTTCCTTTCTCTTTGGAGTGTTACAAGCTGTTCGTGAATAGATAAGATCCCTAAAGTTGCAAAGACTAAAGTCTCAAACCCAAAGAGATATTCTTTATAAAAGTTAAGACTCGTCCACGCCCTCCTAAAATGCCTCGTTCAAACACGCCCCCACATGTCTATGTCACGATGTGGGAAGATTTGCATAACGCCGCCCAAATGTTCATGCAAAGAAAGAAGGCGTAACTTTATTGTTGCTGCCACCGCCGCCATGTTGAGAAGACGCTGTGTTTTTCGTTGCGAAAGCACTTTGTTTGGCCTTCCAAAAGAGGACACGACTAGAAATCAGTGGTTACGTTGTATTTACAACACTGTTCCAGAACAGTTCAACCCAAATATTCAGAAGTGTGCTGCGCATTTTATGGAGGACTTAATCTTTCCTGATCCTGGAAGATTAGACTACAATGCCGGCTGTTCTGACTCACAGACTGCAAGTACGTTTTGTTTATAATGGGTTTTAATGTTTTTGTCTCGTCGCTCCGGGAGACAGCATCACACTCTGGTAAGGGGCGTAACATTTCCATCACACGCTTGAGATATTCGGCCAATCACAACGCACTGGATAGCTGGCCAATCAGAGCACACCTCACTTTTCAGACCGATGAGCTTTGTAAAAATCGACGCGTTTCAGAAAGGCAGGGCATAGAGGAGAAACAATAATGTACAGTATGTGGAAAATAATGTTTTTTGAACCTTAAACCGCATAAACACATTTCATTACACCAAATACAACAAATAATGTTCTTTTTAGCAACATCATATGACCCCTTTAATGACTCCCATTTAAATGTAAAAGCGGAATGGAAAGCTAGTTACCAAATATATTACACAAACACATTGTAAGGAAAAAATAGTAGAAAAACAGAAAAGGTAATGGTAATTTTCTACCAGAACACTTTCCATTACGGACATTTTCTTTAATCCTAAAACACAAAACAATGCAATAGCTAATTTAAATATGTGTTGACATCACTGAATTCAATGATGAACTGTCTTTAACTGAAAAATTAGTGTTTACTATTGTCATTTTGCATTATTGACACTATAATTGACTATTTTCCTAATTAATGCTGTTCAGTTGCTTTGACACAATCTGTATTGTTAAAAGCGCTATATAAATAAAGGTGACTTGACTTGACTAATT